TCATCACCAGTGATCACTATATCATCAACATACACAGCCAAGATGGTGATGTTTGTCCCCCTATGTTTGTAAAAGACAGTGTGATCTCCATTACACTGAGAATACCCCATATCACACACTGCATGCCTGAACCTATCAAACCATGCACGTGGAGACTGCTTCAACCCATACAAGGATTTCTTGAGTTTACATACTTTTCCAACTGTCTGGCTATTCCCAAATCCTGGAGGGATCTCCATGTAGACCTCCTCATGTAAATCACCATGGAGAAATGCATTTTTCACATCAAGCTGATGAAGGGGCCACCCAAAGTTCACCGCACAAGATACCAAAGCTCTCACTATACCCATTTTTGCCACCGGTGCAAATGTCTCATCATAGTCAATTCCATATGTTTGACTATAGCCTTTTGCGACTAACCTTGCTTTATACCTATCCACCTTCCCTTCAGGGGTTTGCTTCACTGTAAAGACCCACTTACATCCCACTGCCCTTTTTTCTGGTGGAAGTTTTACAAGCTCCCAAGTCTTATTCTTCACAAGGGCATTCAACTCTTCTTTCATTGCATCTTTCCACTTTGGATCCTGCTTTGCACACTTCCAATCCTTTGGTATAGGCATTGTCTGTAATGATGCAATAAATGTTTTGTATGCTGGTGAAACATGAGAATATGTGATATAGTTTGCAATGTCATGCATAGAACTAAGATGCTCAAAACCAAGACGTATAGGAGGTCTACCAGCATTGGATCTAGTCTCTCTACGTTGTGCAAGAGGTAATTCTACATGTTCAAGAGTTGGAGAAGTATTACCAATTGTCTCAAGAGAAGCCAAGGAGGCTGGAGGAGAGAGACTCTGGGAGGATTCAGGGACTGGACATTTTGGGTGTGGTAACTCTTCAATTTGACTTTGCACTAACCCTTTTCTTTTCTCCCCCTGACTATCAAACCGCCTCCTTTGGTAAACCAGCACATCCTTTTGTTTCACCCTTTCGGCTCCCTCCATAGGACATGGAATTGTCCCAACAACTACTTCTCCTTCTTCTCCATCCTCTTCATGAGGGACCATCTCTATCCTCATCTTGTGTATCTTCAATGACTTCCACTACTTTACTCGCATCATCAATAGAGCATGGTATTGATCCAATCACTACTGCCTCTCCATTCTTGTCACCAACATTTTTTTCATGTATGTCACCTCTCTCTCTCTCCCCCTCTCGACTATCAACCTCCATGACAGTCGAGAATTCCTCAAGAAATTGATCAAGATCTCCTTTACTTTTATAATAGGGCTCAAACTCACGAAATGTCACATCCATACTCACAAACAGTCTTCTCCCAATGGGATCCCAACATTTATACCCCTTCTGACTCGAAGCATAGCCAACAAACACACACTTTACTGCATGAGGATCTAACTTGCCAACAGAAGGTCGGTGATCTCGCACAAAACAAACACAGCCAAATACCTTTGGAGGAACCTTGAACTCTCGCTTACCCAATAACAGTTCGGCAGGAGACTTCATACCAAGTATTCTGGAAGGCATTGCGATTGATAAGATATGCTGCTGTCATCACAGCCTCACTCCATAGATACTTTGGTACATTCATCTGGAACATCAGAGATCTTGCCACTTCTAGCAAATGCCGATTCTTTCTCTCAGCTACACCATTTTGAGGAGGGGTGCCAGGACAAGTAGTCTGGTGAATAATCCCCTCATCTGAGACATATGACACAAATTCATTATTGATATATTCTGTTCCATTATCAGTCCGAATAATCTTAACTTTTGCATCAAATTGAGTTGTCACTAATTTATGAAAGTCTTGGAAGCAACGAAGGACCTCACTTTTGTGTTTAAGCATATAAATCCAAGTCATACGAGTGTGACAATCAATAAAGGTGACAAACCACTTGAAACCACTCACAGAAGTAACTGGGCATGGTCCCCAAACATCAGAATGTATTAATATGAAGGGCTCACAGTTACGAAGACCAATTCCAACATATGTAGAGCGAGTATGTTTGCCTAGCTCACAAGCATCACACACCAATCTATGCTTATCCATCTACTAAAGAGGTCTGGATACAACTTACTCCAAATCTCAAAAGATGGATGTCCTAACTGACAGTGAAGCAAACTGATCTCCTTCTCAACATCTCCAACCACCGCAGCTAATCCCAGTTCCTCATGATTGATGTACCACAACCCATCACGCCTGACTCCAGTCCCAATCCTCCTCCCAGTCCCCTTCTCCTGGAACAGACAAGAATTCTCATCAAATACAACAATGCACTTGAGTTGATCAATAGCCGAGCTAATTGAGAGAAGGTTAACTGGAAAGGAAGGAACATGCAGAACAGAAGACAAGTTCATTAATGATGTGCACTCTACTGACCCTATACCATGAATAGGCTTGGATGTACCATCAGCGATTTGGATAGTTTCAGAGTGGATATAAGGGGTGTATGATGTGAAAGTATTATGCAATCCTGTGACATGCTTTGATGCTCCTAAGTCTATGATCCAATCTATAGGATGTCTATATGTAGATGCAAGTGCCTGTGCCTGAGTACCTTCGCCCACTTGGGCGTAGTTCGCGAAGTTACCAAAGTGAGTGGTGGTGTTAGAGCTCTCATTGGTCTTGTTCTTCTGCCATTCCTCCCATTGTGTCACTTGTTCACCTATTAGGGTAACAGCTTTCCCATCCTCCTTAACTGCATTGGCCTGAGGAACACCTCTGCCCCTACCACGACCTCCAACACGACCTCCACGATCACCTCCTCTACCACCACGATTTCCCCCAAAAACACCACGGTCTCCTCTAAATCCACCACGAGTTCCACCATGCCCTCCTCGAATCGATCCCCTACCACCAATGTTCCGGGAAGTGGGACAATTGTAGCTCACATGACCCACTTGCCCACAATTGTAGCATTCCCTATTATCAGCTGCCAATGTATGCTGATCTTATAGGATTGTACCTCTCATCAACCTCAATCTCATCTCTTCTTGCATCATTGCTGAAATGGCCTCTTCCATAGTGGGCAATGTAGCTTGGTGGAACATAGCTGCTCTCCTATCCTCAAACTCCTTGTTCAACCCCTTCAAGAAATGAATGACTCTTCGCCTCTGCAGCCATTTATTTCCAATCACAATGTCATCCTCATGTTTCAATTGTAGGGGATCATAGTGATCAAGATCTGCCCATAACTGTTGCAGCTCGCTAGCGTACTCTTGGACTGTTCTCCCCTCTTGCTTCAAATTCTCCACTTTGTTCTGAGCCTCAACCATCATCATTACATTTCCCTCTCCTGAATACATGTTGCTCAGCGTCTTCCATACAACTGCAGCATTCTGGATAGCTTCTATCATCCTGCCAATAGAAGGAGCCACCGAGGTCATCAACCAAGATACCACAGTGGAATTTGTAGTATTCCACGTCCTCCATGCTTGGCTCTCCTTATCAGAAGGTTCTTCACAACTCTCTAGTAAAAAATGATCCACCCCTTTTGCTCTCAACATCAGTTGGGCTCTCATACACCAACTCAAATAATTTTTGCTCCCCTTCAACCTCAACTCATTTGGCATCAATTCTAGTTTCACTTCGAATCCCCCTGCTACACTCTTCGGACCTATCATGCCCATCTTCAACAAATTCTCTAGCAAATCTTTCATATCACCCTTAGTAACCACCGAGGAGGCATCTACAACCTCCTTTCCAACCCCCTGAAGACATTTCCCCTCCCCCTTTCTAAGCTTCCTTAGTCCTCACCTGCTACTGCTCTCTGCTCCTGTAATTTTTCAGCACACAAGACACTACCAACAACAAGCAACTAGCNAACCTTCTCCTCTCTTTTCCCTTCTCTCCACAGCAGCAGTCCACCAAACAAGCAATAGCAGCAGCAAACAGCAGTCCCTTCTCTCCACAGCAGCAGCAAACAGCAAGCAGTAGCAGCCGCAAATAGCAAACAACAAGCAACAGCAGCAGCAAACAGCAGCCGGTGCCCTTCTTGTCGTCCTCCGTGCCGGCGCAGCAACCAGCCGCGGCGGGGTAGCAACAGCAAGCAACAGCGGCCAGCCGGCTCACCTGGTCGCAGCTCCGCCACCACTCCTGCGCCGTCGCCCCCACGCCACGGCCGCGCGACCGGCCGACCACCCCGGCACGCCGCTCAGCAGCTGTCGTCGTAGGTCGCGCCGCCACCTCACGAGTCCCAGCGGTCGCCTCCACACCGTCTTCCACTTCGTCCTGCTCCGGCACGAGCGCCGCCGCCGGCTAGGGTTTTGCCGCCGCTGGTCGCCAGGAGCTCGGCTCTGATACCATATTGTTCAATTTGGGGAATTTTTCTAGGGTTAGCCTACTCAGCTCACCCCTTCCTCATCTATTCTATTAGCATAACACTTTACAGATAGGTCCTTGGTACAATACATATTTACACCAACAATCATTCATTAGCTTGGTCCCTGATTTCCATCAGTTCCTAAACTAGGATGGAATAAGCTGAAACAGCCGAAACTCTTTCCCTAATAATACAAGCATTCACCTGCTATCTCTGAATCCGCTGCTCCTGGTGAACTCAATAGCCGTCATTGGAACTCTGTCATTAGGGATACAGTATACAATGTTGTCCATACATTAGCAACTATTACAACCACAAGAAAAACAAATTGATATGTCAGATATATTGACAAATTTCTCACAGGATGTTCATTTGCGTAAGGCTATCAGACCAACCCAAAAAATAAAATACAGACAAATTGAAGTAGCTGTCTGGCTTATTTTTTTTTGGAACCAAATTTACTTAGAAAGAAGAATATATTCCTTGGTTTTGTCTAGATCTGGTACTAATGATTCCAATGTAATTACTTAGCACTATGTGGACAAAAAATCACTTTGATATCGATCTAATATCTGAAGCAGATATGATTTTCCTCATTCCACAATCCACTGGGAGTATTGAGATTGCAACAACAAAAAAGCAGATGTACAAAAGCACATGTTATGAACAAACTAATCAAACTGCATACATATTCAGAATACGATTACTGTAAAATCATGGTAATGGAATCCCACCGTGGAAATGAAATCCACACAACAGAGGAGATTTGTTTAAATAGCCTGGAACAAATGAATGACATTGAATCGCTGACCGAAAACTGCAGAATAGAAATGCAGTACAACTTAACATCTGCCAAGTGGCATGCATATTGCTTGCAACAATGCAATGGTTTTTCCTGGATTGGAAAAAGTTTGTTCTGACAAACCTACATTATGACTGATAAAGTCGATAGAATACATATAAATACTGGAACGATGCTGGGTCACTGCCGAAGTGTTGAAATTGCAATATTGGGGCGAGATTTATTCATTGTTGTATCTCTCAGATAATGACATTATAGTTTCCATGTTTGCCTTGCAAAGGCCAGCACCAACTGCAATGACAAGGATTTGATGATGGGGAGTAGCCCGCCTTTTGTGCCACTCCACCTTCTGCTTGCCAGCAGACCGACAGGGACAGAGTTGGTGTGCCTCGAAGGACAGACCATTGATGTTTCTAGTCTCAGCAATGAAATTTAAGGCAGGCATTACCAAGCTGTGGAACCAACGCATACTGCTACTCAAAGTCCCACATATCTCCATCAAAATCATCGATAAACGAAGCTGCATAGAAAAAAGAAACAGATGACATGAGAAAGAATACATGATGATCTAGTCTTTGTGCTTCGTATGATGTCCTAGGAAAGATACATGGTAATCACACATACCTGGAGCGTCACGAAGATCCAGAGCAGACTGCAGCTGCCGTGGGAGCAAACTATGTATAGGGAGCTTTGGGCATCTCCAGATCTTTATCTCTTCAAGGAAAGTGAGGCCAGAAAGGCCATCACAGTATTGGAGATTAGCACAACTTAATAGGATCTTCCTCAGGGAAGACAGTCTTTTTGGCTCAAGAGATAAGTTCGTCATTGTTTCACAGAGAATTGATATGCAGTTGAGCCAGGGGTGGTCAATGCCATTCAACAGCCTGCACAATACCTTATCTTTAAGAAGTGGATCCCAGAGATGGAAGGTGTTAAGTGAGGGGAGTGAGCCAATTACATCTAAGTCTGGACATCTGCATATCCGTAATTTCAAAAGTGATGGGAGGAACGGAAGTTTTGTTATGCCAGGGCAGCTATGAATGTCTAACTCCTTTAGGTTATGTAAAACAGGAATGGTAGGGTTGTCCATCAGTGTATTATACCAAATAGACAGGTAATGCAGAAGTGGGAGGTGATCGAGCTGACCGAACAGCATCACATCTGCCAGGTTACCTTCTGCATTCAAGGTGGTTAGTTCGGGCAGGGAACCTACAGATGTGAGGTTTGGACATTTTTGTATATCCAATTTATTGAGTTTGGGCATAGTACCGACTGCTCCTAGTTTTGGGCAATCATATAGCCACATTATCAAGAGGGCGGGTTGAGTACGGATCGTATGTAAACCATTGCATACCCGAATTTCTAGATCCCTTAAAGTCCCCCCTGCAGGAATGACACCAATAACATTACAGTTACTCAATTTCAGGTAGTGCAAAGAAGAAAATCGATCCGATGGAAGAGAACTTAGCCGATTGCAATCACTGATTATCAGACTAGACAAGCATGGGAAATCTCCATCATCCACCCCAGACCACTTGGACCAGTGCAACATATTGCTAAATTCCAATGTTTTCAATGATGGGAAGCCTTTATTGCCAGGAATACGGGTGCAAAACTCCCTTCCAATGTGTTCCATGTAATACATCCTCCCAATGCTGACATACTTGAGGAAAGGTAGCTCACCAAGTGTTGGAACACATTGTTGGGTTACCTTATCTGTACCGTAAAGTACTATGTTAGTCAGCTTTGAAAATGAAGCATCACCCAGCCAGCTGGGATAGCTCTGACATTTGTAACCATATATTGCTAGTCTTCTTAGTCCTTCATGTGGTCTCAAGCTCTCCAGTATTTGATTGTGTGGTACTATAGGATATTTAGGTTGCTGCATGTATTGGTACTGCAAATTTTCATACCGCACCTCTTTAGGAGTGAAGTTCAGGCCCAATTGCAGCGGCATGTGTAGGCACTCCACTTCACTAAAGTCTAATTGTAGAAACTGGAGGTGCTTTTTATTCATTAATTGAGCTTCGATTGCATCTTGGACATGAGATAAATTACCCAATCCGCTTATACGCAGTTTACCCTTTTTTTTGTTCAGGTTCTTCAGCTCTCGTAAGTTAAAACTGCCACCACATCTACAGATATATACGTGAGGAAAGGTGTGTAGGTTGATTAGGGGATAAATTCCGCTGGGTGCATTCCATGGCCCTTCAAGATGGCGTAGTAGTTTCATGCTACTGATGTACCTTGGTAATGCCTCATGAAGGTTTCTATCAGATAATGCAAGGACCCGCAGATTTTTGCATATCGAAAAAAGTAGCTCTAGGTTAGTAACTTCATCCCTCTCCAACCCAATGATGGCCCACAAAGGGTGTGAGGAAGCTGAGAACTGAACAGATGTATGATAATCAATTATGGACATAAACCGAGCGTTTTGTGGAATTTCAACTGGTTTGTCACCTTCAAGCCTAAAGAACTCATTCCCGGAAAGATGGCATGCGAGATCATGAATTAGATCATGCATGATGCCAGAATTGAAAGATATTTGGAGAAATGACCTCTGTACTAGTTCATCATAATATCGACTCCCAGTTCTACCAAAGAGAAAATATTGACTCCCAGATTCGTCCTCATTGTTCCACTCATCACATTGTAGAATATCAAGTAATCCCCACAGGCTAATAACCTCAGATTTCTTGAGTGAATAATCTTTTGGGAATAGACAAAGGGAAACAAAACATAGTTTTAAGTGCATGGGCATATTCTTGTAGCTCAACTCCAAGGCCGGTAAAATCTCGTTATGTGCTTTATCCAAATCCCATAATTCACTTTCAAGGACATCTATCCATCTGCTTTCATCAGATTCATATCTCAACATGCTCCCAAGAGTCTTGATTGCTAGTGGTAGCCTGTCACACTTTTGAACAATCTTCTTGGCAATGTCTACAAGATTTCCTTGAATGATATTGTCGTGCACTGCAACTGTTCTTTCAAACAATGTCCAGCTCTCGTGGGGGCTTAAGTGGTCAATGGTGAAGTGTGGCATTGTCTGCACCAATCTTGCTACTGCTACATTGCGAGTGGTTACTAAAATATTACATTGTCGGGCAGCTGACAAAGGCTTGCAAAATGTTTCCCAGCAATCCTTTCTTTCGTTCCAGACATCATCTAATACAAGTAAAAATCTCTTCCCTCGTATCTCTTGGCCTAACTTGTCCTGAAGATCAACCAGTTCTGACAAGTTATTGCTCTCCTTGGTAATAGAAACTATTATTTTTTTTGTCAAGTTCGTTGAGTCAAAATGATCAGACACGTAAACCCATACACAAACATCATATGATCTGTGCACTGTTTGGTCATTGTATACAAGCTGTGCTAGAGTTGTTTTGCCCAAACCCCCCATACCCACAATGGCCAAGACAGACAAGTAATCACTCACAGCATTATTACCATGTCCAGACATTAGCTTTTCTATAATTGTTTTCTTATCCAGTTCCCTTCCTATGATGCTCTCTTTATCTACCAAATAGCTAGTGGGACGCACGCTATGGATATCAGGGACAATCCGCCGTTCCCCATCATTATCAGACATGCTAAAATGTTTATAGTATACTTTCATCTCATCAAATCTCTGTATAAGTTCCCTTGCTCGAACAACCAGCTCATGTGGAACCGGGACCAATCCAAATTGAGCAAACTGCTCGTCGTTGACCTATATATCAGGAGAAAAAAAATGAGGCTTTTTTTTTCTCTGAACCTAGTACTCCCTTTGTTTCAGGTTATAAGACGTTTTGACTTTGGTCAAAGTTAAACTGCTTTAAGTTTGATCAAGTTTGTAGAAAAAAGTAGTAATATTTTCAACCCAAGACAAATTTATTATAAAAATATATTCAATTATTGATTTGAAGAAATTAATTTAGTATTGTAAATATTACTATATTTGTCTATAAACTTAGTCAAACTTGAAATAGTTTTATTTTGACCAAAGTCAAAACGTCTTATAACCTGAAATAGAATGAGTATTATTTAGTTTTTGTGTTTCCCTGCGATTAATATAATTATTAAACACCGAATCTTAACTCAAAACTATTGATTATTTAATATTTTATTTTCCCAAGTAAAAAAAAACTATTGCCAACTTTCATGAAAACATTAACCAAAGAGAAAAACTAATGGAAACAAAGACAATTATATATAACTAGATGATTTCCTGCACGCTGCTGCAAGAATTGGTATATAACTTATGTTTGCAAATTTGATGATAAGAAATTTCGAAGGCATTGGGTATATATAAAAATTCTTGCTATACTTAAGTCAAAATAGAAATACAAACCATTATAATTTATAAAAAACTTAACATATAGAAAAAAAATGATATTATGATAGTAGGTTGATACCGTGAATGATCGATTATTGAACTGCCTTGTGATCAAAACAGAACATGTCATATTCTTAAATATAATTTAGAGACAACCATGCATAAATGTATAGGCTATCCAATATATGTGATATTTTCATTATGTTACACACAAAATTAAAAAGAAGATACATGATTTGGTAATGGACCGTTTAGATTCATGCATAGCATTGGTAGCCCATTGTTTGCTTCGTTAATTGAGGGTTGCATGGTTGTGCATGATGGGGAGAAGTAAATGCATGGGATAAAACATGTATCGCTGAGAGAAATCTGAGCCAACCAAAATAAATCCAATGGTCAATAGTAAAGAGAGACATTGAGGTGATCTCAGATGTTAAGTGTGAATCTAATGGACATAAATAATTAAGGTGATGTGAAAGCACCACATGAGAGTAAAATACTAGAAACTACACTAAGTGGGAATCGATTGTATAGATTATATAGATACCGTCTTGTTCTGATAACCAAACGCAGGCGCCATAGTAGGGCCCCTGTTTGGTTGCAACACCTGCACACATATGCCTGACCTGGTAGCAAACCCTGACAGTTGCCTGAGTAGTGTTTGGTGGCAACGCTAGTTAGAGCTCTTTTGGAACGAATAAAAACTAGAGAAAAATCGGAGAACTGGATTCCTATGAAAAAAAGAAGTTGTATATGGTCCTTTGGAATAAATAAATGAATGGCTCTACCAAATTCAATTGAAATTCTTATGAAATAGGCCATTACATATATAGGAATTTTATATGAAAACTAGCATGGGATTCTATATCATGTTTTTTATTATATGGCATAAAGTTCACGCATGTGCTTTTCCTGTGTGTCATCCAAACAACAGTAGTTTCTGAACTTTTCCGTGTTTTTTCTATTTTCTGTATTTTCATTATCGTGCCTCGAAAGGAACCTTGACAATTCGAATGCGTGCCTATCCCATCCAATTCTGGTACCGTTAGGTCGTTAAATTATCAAATCTCTCGGTCTAAGACATAGCAGGTCAACCTAATTAAGTTGCTAACATATCAAAGACCCGTCCTGCGTTGTATGGGCATGCGTGGATCTAGTTGTTCTTGATTTCCCTTTTTTGTCTCTTTGTATCTGGTAACTAATGGATTTTTTTGCAGTCCCTCGAGTCATAATATAATATGACAAAAGTCAGGCATAGTAAATAGATAGAATTAAACTCTACCTCATGGCGCTTGCGCTTAGAACAGTTGCTTGCACATCTGTCGGCAGCCTCCAATCTGCAGCGGTTCACCTCGTACTCGTACTCCTCCACCACATCCTCTGCGCCGTATGCCAGCTCCTTGAGCTCCCTAAGCCGCAGCTTAGCAGATTCCTCCCTGATATTCCAGTGCTCCTCGGCATCCATAAGCGTGGCGTGGATCCTGCGCATAGTCCTCTCCAGCATCCTCAAGTCGTCCAGTCCCTGGCTGGAACTGGAAGAGGATGACGACGAAGCCACCGGTGTTTGCCTCACCGGTGTCAGCAAGGACGAGAGCTTGTCAATTGCCCATTTCACAGCCATGGACGCAAACAACCCGGCCATTTCGGTAGAATCTGGATAGGTTTTACTGCTCTGCAACACACACACACACTCTCTCTCTCAACTCAGTCTCTCTCTCTCCTCTTAACGCTGCAGTAACTCAAAGCGATTATTGCAGTGTAGTATATGGGAATAGAAAGGAAGCATGTCAAATCAAAGAAGGCAGATTTTTCGGGGCAATAACCTCTGCCGTGATCACTCGATCTGCTGGATAAGCTCCTGTCTTTATTCCTGTGTCTATCGTGTGCGCCAAAAATGTGATTGCTCGTTCTCCGTCCTAAAATACAGACTCTGACATAGTCTCTAAAATGCTGCTTTGGCCAACAATTTCTATAAAAGTAAGATGTTTTAAATAAAAAGAGTAGTATATTATGATAGTTTGTTTAACGATAAATCTAATAACATCAAATTTACATGATTGATCTTTTGTTTTCTATTTATAATGTTTGATTTGTTATTATTATAAAAAAGATTATATGTTGGGACGGAAGAAGTATAAGTTGTCTGTCTGTGTGGACTGACCAAGTCAAAATTAAGTGACAAGGAATCCTCGTAGGCAAGTTCAGACTGGAAGCAGCAGGAGTCAAAGACTCAACATCATAGTCCCCATCCAGAGTGTTCTTCGGAGAAATTTCTCGGGAAAACATCAAAATGTGTTTCCAGGTGGAATTCCACTAGTTCTGTAAGTGGAACCGTATGAAAAAATAGGGGGACCGCACGAAAAAATAGGGGACCAGCGTCGGGCTGTCATCCGCACGGGAAAATATATTTTCCTGTGCGGGCGTCTTAAGAGGACCGTATGGGAAAATCCTCATTATCCCGTGCGGTCGACTTAAGTGGACCGCACGGAAAAATTTATTTTCACGTGCGGTCTTTTTAAGTGGATCACACAGGAAAATACCACCCTCCTTTCCCTCCTACCCACTTTAAATTTTTCACATCCTCTCTCTTTCTTTTTCCCTTTTTCACATCCTTTTTCCCTCAACCACTCCCCTCCCTCTCTACCTTATCTCTATTCTCAGCCACTCCTCCCCACCTTCCCCTCCTCCTTCCCCTCCCCTCGTCCGTCAACGGTGGCAGCGGTCCCTCCCCCTCCCCTCCTCCCCGTGAGGGAGTAGCGGCGGGAGGGAGCAGCGGCTCGGCGGGAGCGACCAAGAGGAGGAGAAGGCGGCGGCAAGGGGAGGGAGCGGGGGCAGAGGCGGTGGCTCCGTCGACGGGGCGCGACGGCTGCTGGTGGAGGCGACACAGCGGCTCGGCGAGCGGAGGAGCGGCGGCCGCGGCGCGGGACGGGCGGCGGACGGCGCCGTGGCCCGCGGCACCACGCGGCTCGGCGAAGGAGTGGCGAGCGGCGCGTGAGGTGATGGCCGTGCGAGGTGGCAGACGGCGTGACTGGTGGTGGCGGGCGGGCTCGACAGTAACTTTCGATTTTTGTGTTTTTTTTTGGTTTTTTTGTTCCGTGCGGGGGGTATAATTTGACCGCACGGGATAATCAATTATCCCATGCGGTGCACTTAACCCGACCGCACGGGAAAATGATTATCCTGTGCGGTTGGGCCGCCCGCACGTGAAAATATTCATTTTTCCAGACGCATGGGTCCAGACGGGGAAAATCTCTGCACGGAAAAATCAATTTGACCGCACGGAAAAATAGTTTATGTAGTAGTGAAAGATGCTGAAATCGACATGCGGTAGACCAATCAATGTTACAAAGACATTTACAAAGAAGTGACCAGAAATCCAGAACGAGATAATCACAAGAACTAAGCAGACACGAAGAAGTTGATTTGTCGAAATTATATGTTAATGGGATGAATTTTCCATTCTGATTTTTCAGTTATTGACGTTCTTGAAATAAATCAACCCTATTTCATTTTACTTCTCATCATACTAGCATGCTCTTGAGTTCCTAGCTAGAGCATGTATATCCTTCCAAACCTTCTCAAGGGCAGTTTTTTTTAAAATAAAAATAATGAAAGCTTTATTGAATTTCAAAGGCAGCTAAGCTACGGAGATCTCGTACTTAATAAGAAACATGATCCATCCCCTCACATTCTTTGGCATCTTGTGTATATATATTAACTAGACGATACCCCGCACGTTGCGGCGAACTATTCATGTGTGCAATGTAGTTATAAAATTTTACTGTATATGTATGAGAAATATTATGGACTTGTAAAAGTACCTCACATATGAAAAATGAAATACTTCTTGTAGTGTTTTTTATAGCATACTACAATATAAGTGGTCGATGAATATTTACTCATAAGCAATAAAAATAATGATAACCGTTAATATTTAATGTCTATTGGATTTTTTGATGAAGCATGGAAATGATCCAATAGTTCTTGTTTTATGGGTAATGTGACTCAATACATGTTTAGTTTTTATTATTACATCAGTCTGTCACTCTAGCGGGGTGACTTGGGAGGAATTTAATTTACTCATTGCCCCAGTCATGCTCGCCATCACTGTTAATCCTTTACACTTATACACGTGCCTATAGCTACATCGTTCGGTTGTCAAACAGTTATCAAAAGAACTAGCTAATCTTCCCTTTTCCATAAAAGAAAAAATATCAAACGGCTTTCATCTTAACTGATCCTTTTCTGATGGTTCTAACATTGATCATAGGTACGTTAATTTTGGATTGCTTAATTTCCATGAACGGTGAAAGCAATTGCATCAGCAATATCATGCATGCATGATAGAACTCACAAGCAGAGCATTCAGATTGTCTTGGCCAGATAACTGAATAATCATACTGCAATTTTAATTTGTTTAATTTGTAAAATCAAAGTGTGTTTAATTATTATTTTGTGACGAATAATTGGCATATGAGATTATTGGTTTTGATATGTGGAGGTTATTGGCAAGTGGTTTTGGAGATGTGTGATTTTTAGATGGTAAACAGGGGATTGCTGATAGTGTGGTCCGGTCAGACAGTGCAGGTGTTGCCGGTTGGACCGGCGTGTGTTGCGCAGTCAGACCGCCGAGCCCGACGGTCTAACTGGTCGACTCTGTGTCAGTTTCGGTTTTGGGTTGTTTCTTTAGTTATCTGTGCTTAAATCATGTTTGTGGCTTTTAGAAGTATACTGTTCGTATGTAATATTGTTGTATGCTAATGTTGAGTCAAGTTGAAGAGAACTTCTGCTCAGATATGGTTTCTTTATTTATTCATGTGAGGTGAATCTTGATGTCTCGGGAGAGCATTGCCAGTGATGGATCAGGAGTCAACTTGAGAGAAGATGATGTCCGAACGATCACTATATCATGCGGAATGCTTAGGCTAAATATCAATGCACGTGGTTAGTGAAGATCCCATATGGCATACGAAGGAGTCCAAATTTGGTATGATTGGAGTTTGTTCAAGTTTGTTTCTTGTACGGGAAGATTTCCTAGGGGATTAGGACTTATTGTAAAAATTTGGTTGATTGCTTTAGGCTGCCTACCTCAGGTATAAATTGAAGGAGGGTGAGACCTCCCCATGTCGATTTGAGAGAGAGTTGAGTTTAGAGTAAAGTTGAACTCAATTATTGTGCAGTTGCCACCATAGGGCCCCTGCCGCCCTGCGTGCCATTTTTGCCAGGGAGGCAATAAAATTTATGGGCTATATACTAATTTGGAAATATTTGACCGTCATTTTTTAATGGTCTTGCATGTGAACTCTCAAATCTGTAAGGTGTGAGATCACTCTTAAATTTAACTCAAATAATAAATCAAATTTCATACTTTCTTTTTATATGTTGCAAATTACACATGCATGCTTCCATCTGGTAGTTGAAATATGATTCAAACAAATACGTGGTAAATTTTGAACATACATGACTAAAAAAACCAAACATATGAAATTGGAACTGATAATGATCAATTTACTAATAGTGTTGCTCTAGACCTCTAGTGATACATGCATAAAAATATAGTTTCCATATTATAAGGTTTACCTCTAATCGAGTAATGTATATTCCTCGCAAAAAATAAAGAAGAACCATTGCGTCAAATACCAATGGATGGTTCAAGTATGGCCGAGTTTAGTTCTAAACTTTTTCTTCAAACTTTTAACTTTTTTATCACATTAAAACTTTTCTACACACATAAACTTTCAACTTTTTCATCACATCGTTCCAATTTCAACCAAACTTCTAATTTTGGCGTGACACCCTATATATAATTGGAGCACCACAAAAAGTCCTTCGCCGGAGCTGCAATCTTGTGTACAAGGCGGTGCCCACAGCACCTTATGGCCATTTTCAGTCTGCCACATTTCCTCTAGCAGAAAACATGCCCAGAAGGCCAGAACAATTCTATCACGTCGACAAAAAAAATTACAGTGTTCAACAGAACTTCCATCTATCTATCTATCTTCTATCTATCTATCTATCTATCTATCTATTATCTATCTATCTATTATCTACTAAAAGTCCATTAAACTTCCTAAAAACGCTCCTAAGCCGCCACGTGGCACACCTACAAACGCTCCTAGGTTGCCACATGATACTATATGATCTTACCGTCGATTTTCACTTAAATTGGTGGCCCCAATATTTTAGACCGTTAGATTAGATTTGTTATTAAAAGAACTCATGTATACGTACACATCATGATATATATCCGCACGTCCGTACGTTAAACACAAACAAAGTTTACCTATACTGTTCCCAAGAAGAAGAAAAAAAAGTACACACGTACTTACGGAAAAAAAATAAAAGCAGGAAATACATATGTGATATGTACCTCTAACACCAATGAAAAAAAAATCAACGACAAAATAAGATTTTCTACAATTATTAAGTCCATTAAACTACCTACAAACGCTCCTAAGCCGTCACATGTCATCTCTACAAATGCTCTTAGGCCGTCAAGTGGCACTCTAATAAATTAGAAAAATTCTAAAAAAAAATATAATATCTAACCATTGATTTTTATTTAATCTGGTGGAACCATTTTTTTTAACCGTTAGATTAAAAAAAATACCAAATAAATTTATATTTAGAAAGCGCCACGTTATATGTCGATCCATCCCGTACGTGTACGTGCATGTACATACATACTTCGTACGTACGTGTCCCCCCTTCCCTTCTTTTCTTTTTTCTTTTTTTTTCACTCTCATGAGATAAAAACTAAATTAATAATTTCAGCCATTAGTTGTAAAAAATATATGCTATTTCGAGTTGTATTCTACGCACAAGTCCATAAACTTCATACGAACTACTCAAGTCGTCATGTTACATCCTACATACTCTCCTAAGCCATCATGTGGCACTCTAATAAATTACAAAAAATCTTAAAAATTATGAGAAAAAAATTAAAAAAAATCTGACCATCCGTTATAACTTATAAGCAGGTGAATCTATTATTTCTAACCATTAGATATATCTTAAGGATCTATTTCCAATAAAAGAAATCTCCTCTCTCTACATATATGTACTCCTCCCTCTATGGTACGTACGTGAATTTCCTATTTTATAGCTAGCAACCCCATATAAAAACTTAAGTTACTAAGTTATATAATAAACCACAACGATTCAGAGAAATCAAAACATTGAATAGGTTTTCAACGTGTGTGCTTCTTGCTTTAATTTGGTTATCCAAATAGGCTAACCTATTCTTGCTAGGGATTATCAATGCAATTAGCATTAGGTCTGCTACAAATGAGGGTGTGCACGTGTTTTCATCCTGCAAAGCTCTACGAGATTTATCTTTTACTGGCTAAACAACAAGCACCCTAAATAATCATCAAATTTGCGAACACATCCAAATTTAGATCCATAGTGTCTTTAAAAAACTTAATGATTCAACCGTGATAAACTTCTACGGAAAAGAATAATTTCTAGGACGTGCCATGTCATCCTAATTACCATTTAAAAATAAAAAAATTATATGCTAAAAGTATACAAACACTCCTATACTGCCACGTGGTACGCCTATAAACACTACTAAACCACCACGTGGAATTATAATAAATCGGTAAACCATCTATTTTCAACTATTAGATTTATCTTTTTTTTTCTTAAAAGAAACCACAATCCACATCCATCGCTTGTCTCCCACCGGCACAACTCTTCTCTCCCCACTAGCCCACCCTTCCCACCACCCCACGCACGTAAGTATCCATACATACACTTTCTCCATCTTCAATAATTCTTTCTCATACCTTCCTATTTTATAAATAAAAATTCTAATTATAAAAAATATTATGAAGAAAACAAATCTAACCATCAGTTTTTAATTAAATTGGTGGACTTATAATTTCATCAATTTTCATTTAAATCAGTGGAGCTATAATTTTAACAATTGGATTTAAAGAGATAAATAATTCAAACAGATGAACGCATTAAATCTACCTCAATAAAAACAACATCTCCTTACCAAATAACAACGAAATATTGAAAAACATGACAACGCATATTATATATTCTTGAATCGTTTTACATAGTAAAGATCGATTAAATGTGCTCTATAGCACTCTTAAGCCACCACGTATGATATTTTAAAACTTTGAAAAAACTGAAATTCAAAGAAAAAATAAAGTATATATCTATCCATCGGTTTCCACTTAATTTGATGCCCTATTATTTTTAACTATTAACTATTAGATCACCTTTCTCTTTATAAAAAAACTTAAGCTACCACATGTCATGTCTTAAAGATTCTTAGAATGGGAAAACAACAAATCATAGGTTCTCACTTAGATTGTTTACATAGATTGAAAAAAAATAATGTACCCTCCACCTCCCTCTCCAATCACATGCACATAACACTATTGCACTGTGAACCCTTTCTCATATCTTATTTGAGTTCTATGCTATTCGTTTCTCTCCAGTCTCCTCCCTATTTTCAGCTACTAAACTAAAGAGAGAAACAAATATTAAAAAGACCATAATTTTAAGCTACACTTATAATTTTATTTTATATTTCATCTAATCAATTTTAGATAATGGTTTCTTTTTGATATAAAGTCTCCACATGTTACCCCATAAATCCTCCTAGGCCTTTTTAAACCGATGAACCCATTATTTCCAGCCACTATATCTATATCATATTAAAAGACAAGCGTGTATTCATAATACATCATCTTCCAAAATAATATATTGCACAACTATATTTCTTCATCCAATATTATTCACTCTAGGTTGCATGGAGTCTCACGCACACTCTACATGGAACGTTCACATATGGATTCTCTGTCAAACTAAATGATAATATTAGGCTATATAAACCCATACATTTAGTGGAGCCTCATATCCCACCCAATTTATCCGTCAATAAACAATGACAACCTACATCCAATTAAAAAAACATCTTACTTTTGAATTTACACTTAATTTGCTATACATGTTTTCTAACACAAAATATGTCTACCTACTTTTTAGATGATGAAGAATATTATAAATAATTGCTTGTAGGGATTAATTAAATATGATATGTTATAAAGACAACTAATAGCTAGGTTAGAAAATTATAAAACCATTGCTAATGAAAACAATTTATGGAGAAATCATATATTGTAGATGTTAAAACATAGTCTACGACACATGCCCGCGCGAATATGTGGGCTATCTTCCTAGTTATTTTAAAAAAGGTAGCAATCCCAGAGCGGCCGCATTTTTGTCCGCTGTCTGAAGATCCTCCAGCTCCTCTCGCTGTCTCACACCATGCATATATCTCCCATGTCACAAAAATGAACATCTATTGACATGTTGCCTTGCAGTTAATTTCGTTGCTTTTGCACCTTGAAGACAGGCAAAAGCAAATCTCATAACATGTACTTGATCCCCCCAGCATCCGGGTGTCGTCGTGGAACAGCACACCTGAAGCGTTTTGCAATCTCCAAAATCTCTTCTGACAAAAATTGCAGTCTTCGAACAGATCCTGGAGTCTTAAGAATGCGTAAGTAAGACACTGAGGGTTGGTTTCATTCATAGATCTGGTAGTGTTACAAGAAACTAGATACGTTGCCCTGTAAATGCCGAACGTTATGCACAAACTGAAACTGTACATAAAAATGAAAATGTACATAAAAAATGAGAATGGTACATAACAATGATATATACCTTGATTCTACGGTATCAGAAATCCAGAATACGCAATTCCTCCGGCTGGCTTCGGAGTGAATCAGGTATGTGAAGTCGTGGAGAACAGCGTATCCATAGTATCTTCAGGGAAGTGAGGCCGGCAAAAGCATTGCAACTCTTCAAACTAGGGCATCTTACATCGAGATTTTTGAGTGAAGGTAGTTTGAGAGGGTCAAGACAGATGGAATTTATTGTATCAGACTCAATATGTAATTCTTCCAGCATCATGTGTGAATTCACCAACCTCTGGAGTATCTCTTCTTTGAATGGATCACAGACATGCAAGACAGTGAGTGAGGGGAACTGACTAACTGTAGCCAGACTTGGACAATTCAGAAGCTTCAGTGACTGGAGTGATGGCAAAGCAGGCAACTCACTAAGATTCGCACATTTCGAAATCAATAGTTCTTGCAGAGTAGTTGAGGCAGGAAGTGTAACAACATTTCTACAATTATATAAGGTAAAGTTGCGTAAAGAGACGAAGGGCACTGGTGGAAGAGACATCAATTCAAAGGCACTCCCAATAAACATGGTTTCCAAGCAAGAAAAGTCACCCTCCTGCACTCCAGACCACTCTGAGAATCGGTACATGTCTTCGAAAAACAAACTTGACAATGAGTGAAATGCTTTCACTCTTGGATCAAGGGTGTAAAACTCCCGGCCGATGCGTTCGACACTCTCCATTTGGCGGATATCAAGGTATTTGAGGGAAGGTAGCTCACCGAGCGACATAGGCGTAGCACTAATCGTATTAGCTTGGAAAATGATGTACTGCCCAACCAACTGGGATATATCTTGCAGTTAAAGTTTTGTAGTGTCAATTCTCTAAGGCTTCGATGATGAGGCCGTAGACTCTCAAGTAGCAAGTCAACAGATACTGCAATAATAGCTTGATTAGAACCAGCATTCTGTGTGTGTGCATCATTTATGCTCGCCGTAAAGTTCAATTCTAGTTCCTGGAGATCCTTTTTGCAATGTAACAGGGCTTCGTTTGCATCTATGATACTAGATACATTACAAAGTCCATCTATGCGCAACTTTCTTATCTTGTGCATATTCCTTAGCTCCCTTATGTTAAAGAAGCAACCACAATTGCAAAGATGTATTACAGGCAAAGCCTGCAAGTTAACTAGGCGCCCAATTCCATGTAGACTACAAGCTATAAAATTCAGCGTTTGCAAATTGAATAGCTTGGACACAGAGTTGGAAATTACTAATTCTACAGCATTGCTATGTCCTAGAAATTCCAAGTGGCGTAGCAGTTTCATTTCACCTATGCAGTCAAGCAACACCTTTGCAAAACCGTCCTCGGTGACTTGAATGACCCGAAACTTCTTACAGTTCAAAAACAATGCTTCTGGATTTTCAATGTCAATATTCCCTAGTGTCACAACGGCTCTGAGAGACTCTGAGGAATTTGATATTTTGATACTCTTGGTATGAGGCACTATGGACATATACCGAGTACCCAATGGAATTTCAGTTGATTTATCTCCCTCGGGCCTAAAAAACTCATCCCCAGCAAGAAAACATGCAAGATCATGGACAAGATCATGCATGACAAATGTGTGTCCATGCATATAGTTTTGAAGCAATGATCGCTGAACTAATTCAGTGAAATATAAACTTCCAATTTCTTCCCAGTTGCCAATTCCATCACAGTGAAGTAAATCAAGTGATTTCCACAACCGAGATACCATAAATACATTAAAGGGAGAGTCTTTTGGATATAGAGAAAGGGAAACAAAGCAATGTTTCAAGTATATTGGCATGTGCTTGTAGCTCAACTCTAGAGCTGGCAAAACCTCCTTATGTGACTGCTCCAAGTTCCATAGCTCACTGTCTAAGACATCTCTCCATTTCTTTTCATTGGTTTCGAAGCGCAATATGCTCCCTAGAGTCTTGATTGCCAATGGTAACCCTTTGCACTTCTCGGCAATCCTCCTGCCGATCTCTACCAGGTTAGAAGGGATGCCACTCCCTTGGTTAGCATAAGCTTCTTGCTTGAACAATGTCCAGCTGTCATCAGGACTCAGGCAATTTAGGTTGTAGAAATCAGGCATAGTCTGCACTAACCTTGCAACTCTCTCACTGCGGGTGGTTACTACAATGTTGCAAATTTCTGTGGTGTTCATCGGCAAGCACAACAGTTCCCAACAATCCCTTCGCTCACTCCATACATCATCCAACACAAGTAAAACCTTCTTACCCTTAATTTCAGCTACCAGAATCTGTTGAAGAATATCAAGACTATGTTCAGGTAAACCACACTCCTCCTTCTTTAGTGACTGAATGATGCCCTTTGTTATGTTAATAACATCAAATTGTTCTGAGACACAAACCCATGCATGCTTATCAAAAGATCCGCGCATCCTTGAGTCATTATATACAAGTTGTGCTAGAGCTGTCTTTCCTACACCACCCATGCCGACAATAGCTAGAACAGAAATTGGATTAGCTACACTGTCACCATCTCTGGGAAGCAGTTTTTCCATTATGGTGTTCTTATCTCCCTCTCTTCCTAGAATACTCTTCGCAAATACAAGAGAGCTAGTCTTCCGTAACATACTAATATGAGGAATAATCCTTCTCTCTCCATCATTATCCGACAAAGTAAAGTTGTCAGAATAATATTTGATCTCATGAAATCTCTCAATAAGCTTTCTTGTTTTGACAGCCAATTCATCTGGAACTGCTACCATACCAGAGTTGAACAAGTCCTCGTTTTCCTTTTTGAAGAAAACAAAAAAGAATATGTCACTACACAAATATCCATTAAATTTCCAACCTCCTATGTTTTATATTATAAGTTGTTTGGCTTTTTTTCTAGTCAAACATAATTAAGTTTAGCCTAATTTATAGTAAAATTTGACAATATCTAAAATGTCAAGTTAGTTTCATTAAATCTAACATTGAATAAGTTTTTATAATATATATATATATGTTTATTTTGTGTAAAGGATGCTACTATATTTTTCTATAAACTTAAAAATCAAACGATTTATAAAATATGAAACGGAGGGAGTAGTTTTTTTTCCACCAAGGAAGTATAAACAAAAATCGTTAGAAAATTAGGGGTGCCAACCAGATTTTGTTGTCGCTTGCGCTTGTGATCTGCTGTACTTGCAGACAGCTCGAGAGCCTCCACCTTGCAGCGGTTCACCTCGTACTCATACTCCTCCACAACGTCTTCTGCATCGTACGCTAATTCCTTGAGCTCCTTGAGCCGCAGCTTGGTGGACTCCTCGTGGATGTCCCAGTGCTGCTCCACGTCATGCAGCGTCGCGTGGATCCTGCGCATTGTCCGCTCAAGCATCCTCATATCCTCAAGATCCTGCTCCTGTCTTGCCCTATTAGCAGCCGACGATGAGGAGGACGCTGCCAAGCTCGCTGGCAGCAAGGAGGACAGTGTGTCTAGTGCTTTCCTGACAGCCAGAGATGCAAACAGTGCAGCCATGGTGATCTAGTCAAGCACAGGATATGTCGATGCTCGACAGCGATGGATGGGTAGGAGAGAAACCAAGCAAGGAAGGAACTGAGGCTATATGAGAAGGAGAGAGGGGCAATGGAGAGATATATTGCTGCCCTAATTCAATCTATCAGGTCATCTCTCTCAAGAAGTGGGGACCTGATATTGTTGATGGCGTGCAGTACACACAATGTGTCATCAAGATCTGTGCACTGCAACTATAGTTAAGTATTCCCTCTGTCCCGTAATATAATGGATTTTGACTTTTTGCTTGTACTGTTTGACCACTCGTCTTATTCAAAAAAGTTTAAAATTATTATTTATTTTATTTATGACTTACTTTATTATCCAAAGTACTTTAAGCACAATTTTTCGTTTTTTATATTTGCACAATTCTTTTGAATAAGACGAGTAGTTAAATATTGCAATTAAAAAATTAAAATCTCTTATATTATGGGACGGAGGGAGTAGAATACAAAATGTATAAGGTATTGGAATACATTGCCATGCGCATGCTGGGATCCACTAAGAACAGCAATCCCAAAAGAAAGATACATCACCCCTCACTAGATCCTCATTTTTCAACATTTTCTGTGTGTGTGAGAGAGAGAGACAGAGAGAGATTACGAGTGTTGAACCATTGCTTGGATGGACGATCAGGGACCACGGATAAGAGTAGATCTCATCGATTGAGCAAGATAGACTATATATTTGTTGTAATAGGAGCTCGGACGAAGATACCGCGCGGATGGTTTCATTTGGGTCATTGGATGTTAATTATTAACGTCTTGGGAATGAGATCCTCCGACCTAGATGATTCTACGTCAGAGGGATATCCTGATTCAGATCGTCGTCCCTTCCACATCGAACGATTGCATTTGATTCACTCCGTCAGATGTCTTCGGCCCATTCGCAGACTTCTTGGTTTTGTTGAATTTATAAGCACATAATGATTTAATTTATTCCATAAATAAAACATGACATTGCAGATGTAAACTAGCACGAACGCATCACTAGATCTACACATGTAAACTAAGCAGTAAAAAAATAAACAAATCAAATATACGCAATATGTTGAACACGTACCGAGGGTTCCGGAAGACCGATTATTCAGCAGGAATTACACGTGGTTGCAGGCGTTGACGAAGGCGCGCAGCACGCGAGTGAACAGGAAGATGAGCCGTCGTGGACGAACGGGGAGCAGTCGCACGAAACGCTTCCCAAAAACTTTATTGCCACCTTCTCCTGGTGCAGGACATCGAAGGCAGAGGTTCCGGAGACCTGCTCTCTCGATCGCCGGTGCACGCCGATGAGCGGGATGGAGTAGACTATGAGCGACGGCATAGTACATAGGAGGAGGCAAACCCTAGATTGATTTCGTGTGTGTTGCGTAGAGGCGGTGGCTCGATTTATATAGAGAAAGGTCGCTTGATCAGGGCGCCCGCACGATCTCCACTCCTCGTAACCGAACCGGATAAGTCGCGCGTAACCTATCCGAACTCCACGCTATTTTCACGCACTGTATTTTTCTGTATTTTTCGGAATGTTTCCAAAACAAACAAATCCGAATTCCCGCAGCAAAACAAAACTACAAAAGGAGGCTGAGGAACCAATTTTGGCAGACAATTTGGACACGTACGTCATGCACGCGCCCCAATTTGAATTTCCCGCAGTAAAACAAAACTGCAAAAGGAGGCTGCATGCACCCCAATTTTGGCGGACATTTCGACGCGTACGTCATCCATGCGCACCGCTAGGTGAGGCGAGCGAGCACGCGTGTTCCCCCTCTTCTCTCCACCTCACATGCTTCAAGTGGCTAGGATGGCATCCTCCCTTTTAAGGAGGTCCCCCTCTCCTAGAATAAGTAAGGTGGTACTAAACTCTCCATGCATGCTATCCCATGCGGTGGGCTTTTATGATTTTCCAAAGAATTAATCTTCGAGTGGGCTAAGACCCATCAATTAATTCCAACAGGTTTGGCCCGTTCGCAGCCATCCACGGCATCGAGGAGCTCTGGCCAATGGAGGCACCGCTGGATCTTCTCGCGCTTCTCCCTCGCTTGTGAAGCGCGTGTGCCATCGATGTTACCTGCGTGTTGGGGTACGTGGTGCTGCCGCCAGCGAGGGCAACTCCGGCTAGACAGCCAGCCACCACCAGGGTCCAAATTTTGGCTCTATTGTACAATCCCCCTCCTTGATATGATATTATTTCAGCCGTGATTTTTGAAATCTTTTTAATAATTTTAGACCAAAATTTCAAAAATTTCAGTATATCGGCACCCTGATACAAAAGCCGAAAATGGAAGAATGAACCTGGCCACCACGCCTCTTCTCTTTCCCAGAGCTCCAACCCCCTGCAACGTTATTGTTCCGCCCCGCCGGCCTCAAATTCAACAGCGACGGAGACGGCTCAGATCGATGCGCGGGGATGCGCTGGCGACTCGAAGCCAACTGAGCGAGCTCGGAGGCGGTTGAGGTCATCTTGGTCTGGGTCGTCTTCGTTGGGACCCAGCTTCGGGGCGTCATCGCGACATCCCCCATGTTGTCTCACTCATCTCCTTCCCTGTCCAGGCAAATAGCTTCCGTCAGCACCCAGCTTCTCCTCTTGCTGGGAGCAAGAGAGACGGTATGCTACATGGCAAGAGACACCTTACGTTTCACTAATGAGAGATCCAGAGAGGAGCTCAATCAGGTCAAGCGACGGCTCTGGTGGTCAGGGCTCCTTGATGTCGTGGATGGCTGCAAATGGGCTGAACCGAGCAGGCTGCGAATGGGCTGAAGACATCTGTCGAAGTGAAAGAACAGCAATCGTTCGATGCAACAGGGACGTCCCTCTGAGGATCTGCATCATGTTGGAGCAGGCCGGGTCAAAGCGAGCCGCAAGCGCATCAAGTGGAGTCATGCGCCATGATTGGGTAGTTTGGGCTGGCACACCCCACTAAAATGTCATGATTGGGTAGTTGTAATTCTGTTTAAGTTTCAGCAACATATAGATGAGAAAATGCTGTGGCAGCACCAAAACTTTTCGTCCGGTGTCCAATTCATGTTCTTTGTTGATCGGAGTTGATCGTGTAGGATTACACAGTAAGAACTAAGCCAACCAGAGAGGATGAATGGTTGGAGTACCCAAAAACCAAAAACCAAAACTTTTAGCGGACCAATAGAGATTTGTTTGACTATAGGTTCTGAGCCGGTTTGACCGCGCCTGTGCGGTCAGTCTGACCAGTGTAGATCGGTTGGTCCAACCAAATCATGTCGTCTCCTCCTATTGCCGGTCCAACCAAGGTAGTGCCACCAGTCTGACCGCCGTGCACTCACCGGTGTAACCGTTGAAACCAGAGCAAACACAAACCGAAGATCTCCCAAAATAGATTGAAACTTTATTCACTTCTATTTGTGTTTACAAAGTACAACAACAACACTTCTTATAAAATCTCGACTAAACTCGAAACTCTAACTTTTCTCTAAACTCAACTCTCTCGAAGAAACAAACTTTACAAACTTCAATCATATCAAATTTGGACTCCTTCCAGAATCAGCTCCACATCCCATACGCACATAATATCTCTATAATATGCCATATGGAATCTTCGCCAACCACGTGCATTAATCTTTGTCTAAACATCCTGCATGATATCCTGATCATCTAGACGTCATCTTCTCCCAAGTTTACTCCCGATCGATCACCGTCAACACTCTCCCAAGGCATCAAAGACTCACCTACACATGAACCAACAAATAAACCATATCCGAGTACAAGTTCTCTCCAACTTAACTCAACATTAGCACGCAACAATATTACATACGTATAGTATCTATCTGGAAGCCTTAAACATGAATTAATCACAGATATCTAAAGAAACAACCCGACACCGATACAAAGTCGGTCAGTCAGACCGTCGGGCTGACCGGTCTGACCGCGCAACACACACTGGTCTGACTAGCAGCACCTTCCTGTTCTGACTGGTTCAAAACTAACAGCATCCTCTGGTTCATCATCTGAAAATCACAAACCTCCAAAACCACTGCGCTGATAATCTCTAAATATCAAAACCAATAATCTTATACGCCAATTGTTCATCATAGAATAATAATCAAACACACTTTGATTTTACATAAACAGCCAGAGTCCCTTCCCTAATAATACAAGCTTTCACCTGCGAACTCTAAATCTGCTGCTCCTGGTGAACTCAACGGCAACGGCCATAATTGGAATTCTGCCCGTCTGTCGTTTGGGATTCTGGATGCAATCCATGTTGCTAAAAATTAGTAGCACTATGAATTTTAAAACTTACTACATTTATTATTTGTATTGTAAGTTTCCTAATACAGTGTATGAGAGAATTAGGACTAATAGTAATTTATTTCCTACTTGGAAGAGTAGTTAGGAGAGATTGAAGCATACTTACACATAGGAGAGAAAGCAATCACATAGGAGAAAATGAATGAAATTAAGCGAAAAAAGAGAAGCCATATTTTTAGCAAACGTGCGAAAGAAATTGAATTTTTTCCTGCTTAGTCAGAGAAACCGTATCTAGTTTCACTATTGTAAAAGAAAATGGCACACATATTCAGAGCTTGGTTACAATGATATGTAAAGTGCAAACACAGTCCATTGCTATAGATAGTAGAGAATTGTTTAATGACCTAAAAGAAATGCTCGATGGAATAGCTGAATGAAAACGCAGAACAAAAGAGTCTAAACTTAGAATTTGAGTACAAATACTGTCCAAAAAAACAAAACTCAGCTTTAAACACTCTAGAAAAGGATTGCTGTTCTAGTGAGTGCTTTACGATCTGGTTATCAGTACCACCGATGTTCCTTATTTAGCGGTGCATTGCAACCTGCCGGATTTTGTTGAATAAAGTGGTTATAAGCTCCCCCTAAAAAAAGGCTTTAAACACTTCCTTGTACGTGTTCTTTCCAAATCCTTGAATAAAATTATCAAATTTGAACACAAAAATAAAACTCAAAATGCATTTGGTTAATCATCATTTTGCACAGACTGTATACAGGCCTGGTTAGAAAAGGGTGCATCCCCAAATATAAAGACTCCTGATTTTTCACAGTGCCATAACAAAATCCTAGCTAGAGAGCGATGACAGGCGTTGCTGATGAATAGGAATGTACACTACAGTCAGGTTTAGACAACTCTGTATTTCAAAGGTGTCGAGTTTAGGCAACGAATCCCGCTGCAGCTGCAGGTTTGGACATTCTTCTACATTCAATCTGAAGAGTTCAGTCATGCATGGAATCTATTGTAATCAGGTTTCGACAATGTTGTATATTAGAAGTTTGAAGTTTAGGCATGAAACCCACTGCAGTCAGCTTTGGACATTTAAATATCTCTAATGTGTCCAGTTCAGGCATGGAACTGACTACACTCAGTCTCGGGCAATCCTTTAGCTGCAGCTTTAGGAGTGAGGATTGGGTAGGGAGAGTATATAGGCCATAGCACCCTCCAATGCATAGCTTCTTAATGGTTCCACCTGCAGGAATGGTATCGATACCATCACATTCATCCAATGTCAGTGTGCCCAAAGAAGGAAATCGATCCAATGGAAGAGCTCGCAGTTTATAGACCGTTCTGAGTGACAGTGTTTCCATCAAGGGGAAATCTCCATAATCTACACCGGTCCACTCATTCCACCATGGTATATATGAAAATTCCAAGCTTGTTAATGATGGGAAGCCTTTGATTCCAGGAGCATGGCTGCAAAACTCCCGGCCAATGTGTTCCAGATAATACATGCTACTAATCTTGAGAGACTTGAGGGCAGGTAGCTCGCCAAGTGTTGGAACACGTTGTTGCCTTACCCACTTTCTACGCGCCGATATTACTAATACGGTTAACCTTGAAAATGAAGCATTACCGAGCCAATTAGGGTAGCTCTGACAATCGTAATCTTCTATTATCAGATTTATTAAGCCTTCATGTGGTCTCAGGCTCTCAAGTATTTCATTATGAGATACTGTAACATATTCAAGTTGCTGCACGCTCTGGTACCGAAATTTTTTGAACCCTTCTTCAAATGTAAAATCCAATTCCAATTGCTCGTGGGATACTTTTTCATATTGTTGCAGCAATTGTTGACATTGCTCCTTTTGGCACTCCTTCTCATCAGAAAAGTTCAATTCTAGTAAATGGAGGTGCTTCTTACTCACAAGTTGAACTTCATTTGCATCTTCTGTATGAGATAAATTACCTAGTCCTCTTATACGCAGCTCCCTTAATTTGTTCAGGTTCTTCAGCTCACTCAAATTAAAACTGCAACCACATCTCCTGATACGTATGTCACGCAAAGTGTGTAGGTTAATTAGGTTACCAATCCCATTTGGTGCACACTCTAGCTCTTTAAGATAGTCAACCCTGTCTGTAGGCCCCAAGTTGCAAATTAATTTAAGATAGTCTCCATCAAGTGGAAGTTCCAAACGGCGAAGTAATTTCAGGCCACTGATGTATCTTGGTAATGCCTTACCAATGTTGCTATAAGATAAGCTAAGGACCCGCAAATTTTTGCAGTACAAAAAGAAATGTTCTGGATTATTAACTCTGGAATAGTTTTTCACCCCAAACACAATGATGGCCCACAGAGGGTGCGATGTAACTGAAAATTGCACAGACGTATCACAATTGTGTATGGACATAAATCGAGTATTTTCTGGAATTTGAACCGGTTTGTCACCTTCAAGTCTAAAGAACTCATTACCAGAAAGATGGCATGCGAGATCATGGATTAGATCATGCATGATGCAAGAACCCGAAAATAATTGAAGAAATGACCTTTGTACTAGTTCATCAAAATATCGGTTTCCATTTTTGTCCCCATCGTTCCTTTCATCATCCTTAAGCATATCAAGCAATTTCCATAGCCAAATAACCTCAGATTTGCCACGTAAACGACCTTTTGGGAACAGACAAAGGGCAAGGAAACATTGTTTTAAGTGCACGGGCATGTTCTTGTAGCTCAGCTTCAAGGCTGGTAAAACCTCGCTCTGTGCTTTATCTAAATCCCATAGATCACTTTCAAGGATATCTATCCATCTACTTTCATGAGTTTCATATCTTAACATGCTCCCTAGAGTTTTGATTGCGAGTGGTAACCTGTCACACTTTTCAACAATCTTCTTGGCAATGTCTACAAGATTTCCTTGAATGGCATTCTCAGGTGTTGTAACCGTTCTTTTAAACAACGTCCAGCTCTCCTGGGGGCTTAAGTGGTTCATGGAATAGTGTGGCATTGTCTGCACCAATCTTGCTACTGGCAAATTACGAGTGGTTACTAAAATCTTACACTGTTGGGCAGCCAACATTGGGTCTTGGAATGCTTCCCAACAATCCATTCTTTCATTCCATACATCATCCAACACAAGAAAAATTCTCTTCCCTTTTATCTTCTTGACCAACTTATTCCGAGGGTCGACCAATTCTGATAATTCCTTGCTATTTTCTTTTGGAGAGGATAATTCATTGCTCAGCTCTTCTATAGAAACAGCAATTTTTTCCATTAAGCTTTTTGGCTCAAAATGGTCGGACACATAAACCCATGCACGGACATCAAATGATTGGCACATAGTTTGGTCATTGTATACAAGCTGTGCTAGAGTTGTTTTACCCAAACCCCCCGTACCAACAATGGCCAAGACAGACAAGTGACTCGCAACATTGCTACCTTCTCCAAACATCAACTTTTCTATAACTTTCTCCCTGTCTGACTCCCTTCCAACAATGCTCTCTTTAACTACAAAATAGCTGGTGGGACGTACGCATTCGATACCAGGGGCAGTCCGGCGCACCCCATCATTATCAGATATGCTAAAGTATTTATAGTAGACTTTCATCTCATCAAATCTCTGAATAAGTTCCCTTGCTTTGGTAGCCAGCTCATTTGAAACTGGGACCAATCCAACTTCAGAGAGGTGCTCACCATTGACCTTGCAGGGAAGAAAAAGGAATTACAGCTTAATTTTTCAATCTACATCAGATATTTCATTTCTAGAAATATGCTTCAACGTCTTCACCAAAAATAGAAAACAAAAATTTCTGGTCATATAACAGATAATATTAATCAATTTTTACTATTCAAATGTGCATCACTAATCTGATAAAAAAATATGTCAATTACCACACTTTCCAATCTAGGTAATGGAATTAATGATTGTATTCGTAACTTTCGCAGATAAGGCAATAGAAGTGAAAATAGAGTGGACTCAGAGGTCATATCAAATCCTACCACATATTCTCTAACCGTTGAATTCATATGTTATGTGTATATGTTGTAATGTGGGGCCTCGTCGGTCATCGTATATATGTGTGGGTGTGCACGTTGGGGGGAGGGGGGCTGAGTCATTCGTGTGGGGCTGGTGGTCAAGTTGTAGGTGTTAGGCAGCCGGCGTGTTGGTTGTTGCTTGGCACAAAGGGATACAGCAGTAGCACATAATCTTCTCTGCCATCCGGTGTTGGTGACGGTGGCTGGCACAAGATCGAGGCGCATATATAAGAGACCGATAATTAAGTTGGTATGGTGAGGTGATTTCAAATAACTTCAGGCAAAATAAAGTTCGTAAATCATAAATTTTTGGAAAATTTCGAACCAAAATTTCAATCCTTAGAGGTCAGAGCTAGATTAATAGATGGATTAGACCGTTCAGCTGGGCTAATGACAAGGTGCATTGAAGATGTTGGATTATTAGCTGGAATTTTGCAATACCAAATCCAAATCCACACCGTACCATTTGTATCAGCCGGATTTCAAAATTGACACATACCATATCCATACTCCAACAGGATTTTAGATCAGAACGTATATATACTATCCTATCAATTTTCACCACCCCAATCGGATACCAAAAGTACTGCATGAGTGGGATTATGTTCTTTGAAAACTGGGGATAACATGCAGTTTGTTGTGACTTTAATTAATTAATTACCTGATGGCGCTTGCGCTTACTACCGTTGCAGGCGTATCTATCAGGGTCCTCCGGTCTGCAGCGGTTCACTTCGTACTCATACTCCTCTACCACATCCTGTGCACCGTAGGCCAGCTCCTTTAGCTCCTTGAGCCGCAGTTTGGCGGTTTCCTCGTGGATGTTCCAGTGCTCCTCAGCATCCACAAGCGTGGCGTGGATTCTTTGCATGGTCCTCTCCAGAACCCGTAGGTCCATCATGCCCTGGCTGATAGAGGAGGAAGAGGAGAAAGCCACCGGTATTATCCTCTCCGGCACCATCAAGGACGAGAGTTTGTCTAGCGCCCATTTCACAGCCATGGACGCAAATGGCGTGGCCATTTGATCAAATTTGCTGGATGGCCTCTACAACGATCTTGTCAAAAATCACAAGTGGCCAGGAGGCATGCTATCTTTCTTGAGAGATGCTTTTTCGTGGAGTACACTAGAGACAAAGAAAACAAGTGGTATGGCTACACAGTGCACCCTGTCAAGATCAAGGGCACTTTGGTACTTATCACTATTTCCAACCTAAGGGCACAAGGAAGCCCCACAGCCACCGATATGCAATTTTAGATATAGGTATCAAAGAATCATGACATACCCCACCTCCTAGTCCTATTTGGAGTGTTTTCCAGGAAATTGCTGCCAAACCATATATAAGAAATATTGAATTATGTGTTCCCAAATAGTCATAGTTGGCAGTTTTAGATCATTCCCTGCTGCTACTCATTGTCTTCTTGCTATTAAGGGATGTGTTTCACATTCTCATCTTATCACTGTAAATAAGAATATTTCCTGCTAGTTAGGCCGATGAGAGATTATCGTCACTTCATCAGCAACAGGAGACATAAGTGAAAAGTAGTGTCCAATCTTCACACAATTAGATGGATAATTGATCGTATAACACCTACCAAAAATAATATATGTAGGGTTGACATTTTTTAAGACGGTTAGAGTGACCAACCATATCGACATTTAATCCGTCGAATACATATAACAAATAACAACAACTCCGTTCTAAACAAATCAATAAAAGCTAACTCTTAAAATATGAAAAATTTGGGCTCCCTCAAGGGACCCTATTCGGTCACCTACTTCGGACACCTTATCGATGGACTTAATTTACACGAGTCTATCTGTTTATAAGGACTTTGGCCAATTTAATTGAAACAACCAAAATCATTGAACCAAGAATCGTTTTACTTCTATCTTTTGTTTTATTCTTTTCCCCATTTACTCTTGTATTTCTATGTTCTTGGTCGTCTCTCGTCTCTACGATACCAGACAACGTCATACCTCTGCTGTGCCTAGTCTAGGAAAAATCAGCGTGTACGTGCCACAACGTGATCTCTCCCGAGAATGTGCTACACGATTTACTGAGCACTAAAACTTACATCGCTGGACTTAATCCTTTCCAATAAAGTAAAATTTCAAGGTCATCGAAATAATTTCACTTGGCCTTAAACTTTGATAAGTAGCCTTGACATGGACTGCAGATAATTAAAAACTCAAAATATTGCAGACGATGAAAAATAATTTCAGTATTCTTGTCGTGAACCCAGCAACAACGACCACCTGACAGATTAAGGTAGTGCCAAATAACAAGACATAAATAAATCGGTTTTTTAAGGACCAGAATGTCATCTATCAGAGGGGTTGAATGATCGTCGGTTAATTCTTTAAAATAACGGAAGAAAACACGCAGCGAAATAATAATATCAAGTGGTATATATAAAAGTAAGAAGCCCTTAAAAATGGAGTTCAACATACATCTAAAACTTCAACGGTACCTCTAGCGAATGGATATTATTTGCAGCAAAGGCAAAATCTAGATCGATCGGTCAAGCTTCGTTACCGTAAAGTAGGCGCTGGGTGGAATTATATATGGTCGAGACTGCTGACATGTTTTCAAAGTACAAACGTCAGTTGACATATGAACCTAAGAAACTGCCAATACAACTGGTCGTTTTTGACGGCGAAAGCAGTGGCGGACCTGTAGTGTGTCACGGCCAGCGAGAGGTGATTTTACTTGGCGCTTAGCCTGTGTGTCACGGCAGGCCGGCAAGAGATTTTACCTGGCGTTCGGCGACGTGGGGTACACGGAGGTGGCGCCGTGCGCAAAGGGATGTGCACGTTGATGTGGCTTAGGTATAGTTCGAGATCAGTAGGTGCGTTGAACAGCATGCCTCCTGCGTGATAAACAAGCCCCTATATCGTTCAGCCATGGTTACTCACGTCCAAAAGATGATTAAGGACCACGCAAAATCGAGCATCAAGCCGGGTAAAGACCAGCTCGAGGGATTAATCTGTTAGAGTTTGTGTCAAATATGCGTAAAAGGTAATCGGTTACAGTTTAGGATTTGGGGTTATAATAGGTATTAGGACTAGAGTATGAGTCGGACTCTATCCTAGGATGTCTCATAAATAGAGGGGCGTGCCTGTTGTAATCGTATAGCGACTTACCATAGCGACAGGGAGCGGCCGCCGGTGGCGTCCAGCCGTGAGTCGTTGTAACTCTGATACGCTGTATATGCTGGATCGGGGAAGAGCACCCGTAATCAATGCCCCGGAGATGTAGGCCTCAACTGAACTCCGTTACCAAATATCGTGTCTCGGTGTCGTCATCATGTTAGAATCTCCTATAGCGTTTTCTTCCGCGCTTAGCTACCGATGTCGATTTCGGGGCTGATTTTATAACAAGATTGTTGGGTTTAGTCCCACATCCGTAATTGATTATGGGGGAGCACGACTTAAAAGGTGGGGGCAGTCCTCACACATTAGACTAGTCATTTGGGTTGTGTAGGCCCAGGACCTAAAGTTGTGGCTCCGGTTGTGCCTGTGGTGGAGCAGGCCCAATGTGACCGGGGTGGCCCACGGTTGGTGGGCCGGGCTACACACTCTAACAAGTGGTATCATAGCCTAGGTTTGGAACCCGAAATAATTTCCATGGGAAGGCCAGGTAACAAGTCTTCGGGGTCACATGGGTTGATAGGGTTTATGTGATGGGGAGATTGTTGGGCCCGATGTGTGACGGGGGAGATTGTTGGGTTTAGTCCCACATTGATAATTGATGATGGGGGGGCACGACTTAAAAGGTGGAGGTGGTCCTCACTCATTAGACTAGTCTTTTGGGTTGTGTAGGCCCGGGACCTAAAGTTGTAGCTCCGATTAGGCCTGTCGTGGAGCAGGCCCAATGTGATTTGGGTGGCCCATGATTGGTTGGCTGGGCTGCACACTCTAACAAGTGGTATTAAGCTAGTCTTTTGGGTTGTGTAGGCCCAGGACCTAAAGTTGTGGCTCCAGTTGGGCTTGTGGTAGAGCAGGCCCAATGTGACCTGCGTGGCCTACGGTTGGTGGGCTGGGCTGCACACTCTAACAAGTGGTATCAGAGCCTAGGTTTGAACCCGGAACAATTTCCATGGGTCACATGGTGGGGAGGCCAGGTAACAAGTCTTCGGGGTCACATGGGTTGATGTGATGGGGAGATTGTTGGGTCCGATGTGTGACGGAGGAGATTATTGGGTTTAGTCCCACATCGGTAATTAATGATGGGAGAGCACGACTTAAAAGGTTGGGGTGGTCCTCACCGATGACCTCACATATGTGATGGATCCTCTTCAGTATCCCAACAAAGATACATTCACAATCACATGCCTACCTCACATTTTTATTGAGCGTGTGAAGCTACAAACTTACCCAAGATACTTTATGCATATGCCTTTTGAAGAAGAAGTATGACCTGTCATTTAAAAAAGGGAGAACAATTGAATGATACATCGTAGAAAGTAATGATTAGATGTTAGGCATAATTATGAATTTTGACGATCCATTTTTCAAATTTTTAATGACAATTTAGAAACTACCTCAAATTATAAAGATAAATGACAGAATACGAGATCCTAAGATCTCAAGTTGTCTTAGTCGATTAGTGTATACACTAATATGATCGAACCAACTTGGGACTCGGAGCACCTTCCATTATGATGATTTGATTGCCAGGAAACTAACTACAAATAACACGCTAAATTGACAATTGCATACATAAATTTTGATGATAAATTGTTAAAACTTTGATGATAACTTTGGAAACTACCTCAAAATTTTAAAAAATGATAGAATACTTACTTGGGACCAAACCTAATCCTACCAAACTTACTTGGGAGCCATAGGATCTCACTAGGGTGGCAACGGAGAGGCAAAATAGGCTGGGTGGAGAAAGGGGGCGACAACGCTCATCACCAGAGAGTCACTCCTGACTGGAGCTCTCCGTCCATCGCATGGCAAGCGATGAAGTGATAAAGATATGGACTCAGAGTTTAGTAAGAACAAAACTACCCATTTCTAATTGGATTACTCTTTTAATCTGCTTTTAATCCCCACCATCGATGCGCTTTAGTTTTTGTTCATTTTTTTTATTTGAGAAGCGTAGAAGCCATTCCCTTCTTCCTTTCCTTCAATTGTCTTTGTCCTCTCTTCTCTCGCGCGTGCTCGTGGCCCCCGACGGCCCATCTCAATCACTCCAGCTAGCCCAGCGCAGCCAATGTGCGAGCCCACATGTCTGGCTTAGCTTCAACCGTCATCCAGAATACACCCAACAACTGAAACCCGAGTTTGCCACCTCTTTCGATTCAATAACCTCCACGTCAAAGCAATCCCCAAATTGAAGGCAACCTCGAGATCCTCTTGTACTGTTGTTGGATTCCCCTCGGGATTCCTGAGTCAGGAATCGCATGGAAATTCCAAAGGATTGGGCTCCACAATGACCCCCAAAAGCTTGGATGAACTCCGCTATCACTAATGTGTCTCTGACTCAATCCTGTACAGAACTGAAGATTCAGAAAAGAAGTTCAGAGATCAGAAGAGAACTGAATAAAAGAAGAAGCATATAAGAAAGACAACCGACACTATTACAGAACACCATATAGGGACTAGCTCATAGGTTCCGGTTGATTTAAAAAACACGACACCTTTGAGAAAGTATACATATAGTATTAATATAGTATTAGTACCGGTTTTCCTAAAAGAACTGACACCTATACCGGTCCACATCTGGGTTTATCCACTCCCACCAGCGCCTCCTCTCCGCCTCACCCCTCCTTTCTGCCCCTCCCTACCAGCAACTCGAGGGTGGTCGGATCCGGCGCCGCCACTCTAGCCTTCACTTCTCTCCAGTGCCCCTCCCTCTCCGGTTCCGGCCCCACCCACCTCCTCTACCTCACTGGAGATGAGAGGTACGGGGAGCAGGAGGAGGCGTGCTGTGCGGTGGCAATGGCTGCCTCATCCTCTCCCTGGCACGGTGCGCCAGATGTGCAATTTGTGATTCAATTTCTTTGATTCAATTTCTGTGATTCAATTTGTGGATTTGTGG